AATTTCATACAACAACATATGTATAATTTAATTTTCATTTTTGTATAAAAATTAGAGTAATTTTTGATATATTTCTTTTGATAATAAGTCAACATATTTAATTACAAAGTCAAAGTTACTAGTTTAGTATCCATCAACCTCTTTCAATATATAAAGATTAAGATATATTATAGGTTATATTTTATTAATTAAGTGTACGTAATAATATATTTTTAACTTATTTATCATATAATAATTACTAGTAATTATAAATTCACACCAAAACTTTATGAAAGTTATACACTTATAAAAAAACTTATAGCAATATTTGTTTTCAAGTTATTTATTTTAAAATTCATATTATGATTTTATTTTTATCTCACTAAGCTGATTTTGTAATAGCTGATTGATTTTAATGAAATAGTAACTCCTTTAAAATTGCATAAACAATTTCTATAATAATAATAGTAATCTAATATTTTTTTCAACTAACTAATTGAGCACAATTCCTTAAGTTTGTAAAAAAAAAAAAAATAGGTTATTCGTTATATTTTATGCATTTTTATTTTGATTCATATGTAAGTAAAATAATTTATAATTGTATTCTTCATTTTACTAACAATCAAATTTATGAAATATGATGCATATTATAGTATTCATATATATGACATATATTATTTTATTTCTATTTGTGTGTGTACAAGTTTGAGTACTAACTAAGATTAAAACTGCACAAGATCATCTTATGCATATTTATCCCACTCTTTCATAGCATTATTGTTAAAGTTTATTATGACATTAACTACAATAGACTCGAATCTGGCCAAAATTTCCCGGAATTGGGGAATGAGATTTCCGGCCAAAACTTTCAAGAATTGGGGAATGAGATTTCTTGTTTAACTTTTAATCTGACCAAAACTCCCCAGAAGTTGGGAATGAGATTTCCGGCCAGAACTCTCGAGAATCGGGGAATGAAATTTTTTGTTTAAANTTTTTTGTTGGATAAAATATGAGGGTATAACATAAATTATTGTCACGAAAATGTAAATTTATCACATTTTTTGTATTTTCTGAACTATATCATCCACATAAATATTTTTCACATATAATAGTAATTTATAAGTGAACCAACCAACTTAGACCGATATATAGTGGTGAAAAAAGACCTCGAGCTGATCTATCTTCTTGCAGCTGGATGCTCTTCAACACCTGCACAAACACACTGTCGTGGGTGGTCTAGCTTAGAACCTCCGATGTCTAAGTCAGAATGGGAGAGAGTGTAGTGAAGAAGATAATGAACAATGTATATTCAGTAGTCAAAGTGTCAAGAGAGAGAACTGACCTACCACACCTTTTTATATAGGGGTGTGGTGTCTTGCTCTCCAAGCTTGCCTGAAAAGTTGACCTAGTTGCCTAGGCTACCAATCTGTACGACTTGCACTACTCCAAGCGCCAGACTTGTTAGGTGGTCAGACACCCCAATCTCGTTGTGGCACGTGGTCCAACCCCTGAATAGCGCTACTTCCGAGTTATATGCTTTTCTCTTCATCTATTTCTTGTATCAGGCGATCCAATCACGAAAACAGCTCTTCGTCACCAAGTAGAACACTTTCCCCATGTGGCTCACCCACTAAGTACTGAGGTCGATGATTTGACCAGAACCTCGACATGTCGAGGTTCCATTAGGCCATCCGCGGGCTGTAGCTCGACCCGTACACCGTACCTTCATTCTGCCTATCTGTCGACCTAAATGCTCTTCGTTCAACCTCAAGCTCCGTGGAACCGATCAGTTTACCCAGTCCATGTAGGTCGGTTTCTTGGGTCTGGCTGACCTGGTATGATATCCCACATCATCTGGTCCCCCCACTCTAGTCAAGCTAAGATAACTTGATTCGAGAGTAGATTCAATCCGCTTATTTCCTATTATGGAATGTATGCCTTTGTTGGGTAATATTCGACCTTCTCGTCTTAGTGGATAAAATTTCACAAAATCTTGAGTACAAAATTCATATTTACTCCCTTCTGTCGATTGGCCTTATCACTTGAGCTTTTCTACTTATAAGCCAGCTTTTTCAACCCCTACCTCACTATCTCAAATTCCAAATTTAAAATTCAAGTTCCTGCCACCTTTCCAATTGTCAGTCTTAACGTCTCCTCGACATAACTGCTCTGTAATTTGCGTTGACCTCGTACAACGTACCCATTAAATGCTTCTCTAATGAAAACCCTTCAAAAAATGGTCGAGCTGACCTCTTATAAAAAATAGCCTAGAATCTGGTAGACTACAAGAGCGGAAGTGCTACTTTGCTACACATAGAAAAGAGTGTTATGGAGGTGGCTGAAATCCCGGAGGTTGAATATTAGAGATCCCCCATCCTGCAAGAAGGGAAATAAGAAAACTTGCAGTACACTATGAAGTTTTTCGAGCATGGTGGAATCCTGTACAAAAGGTCATACTCAGGTCCCCGCTTGAGATGCGTAACAGTGGAAGAGGGCAAGTACGTGCTAAAAGAGGTACACCAAGGGTGTTGTAGTGACCACAATAAGGTGGGGTCATTGATAGCAATGATTCTGAGAGCTGGTTACTTTTGATTGACAGTGCGAGCTGATGCAGTGACAATGGTGAAAAATTACCTACAGTGCCAGAAGCATGGACATCTTCTTTATCAACCTGCTAAAACGATGACCACGATGAGCTCTCCTATTTCCTCCGTGCAATGGGCCATCGACCTAGTAGGACCTATGCTGCAGGGGTCTGGTCAGAGAAAATTCTTGATTGTTGTTGTGGACTACGTTACCAAGTGGGTCGAGGCCGAACAGTTAACCAAGATTACAGAGGACAAGGTCATTATTTTCTCTATAATAATATTTATTGTCAGTTTGGGGTGCCCAAGGTCTTGATCTCAGGCAATAGTACACAATTCAATGGAAGGAGGAAAAGAATGACCTTGTCCTTCGTGATTTTGGCCAACGGTTCGGCCTCGACCCGCTTGGTAAAGTAGTCCACAACAACAATCAAGAATTTTCTCTAACCAGACCCCTAAAGCATGGGTCCTACTAGGTCGATGCTCCATTGCGCGGATGGAATAGAAACACTCCTCCTACTAGAGAGAATATCGCGAAGGTGGAAAACTGAAAAATTATGGCGACAGGGGTACTTATAGATGAAGAAGTGTCTAGGTCGATCGGCCTTGACCATTGGATAAAGATCAAAATCAACGGACATCATCAAGTAGGCGAGTTGAAAAGGCGGTTCGAGCAAAGACGTCGGATCGTGGTCAAAATAAATGGCCCATATCAAAACGGACGAAGTTGAAAGGACATGTCTAGCAGAGCCGTCTGATTGGGGTCAGAATTAACGGTCGAGATTAAGAAAGCGAGTTGAAGAGACAACAGGTGTCCAACCATTGGATTAGGGGTAGATCGAAGGGTTGCCATTAGATAAACATTTAACGGGTACGTTGTATAAGGACAACACGAATTACAGAGCAATTATGTTGACTAGACGTTAAGACTGACAATTGGACATGTGGTAGGAACTTGAATTTTAACTTTTCAATTCAAATAGTGAGACATGGGTCGAAAAAGTTGGCTTATAAATAGAAAAGCTCGGGTGATAAGGTCGATCAATAGAAGGGAGAAGTCCGATTTTGTACTCACGATTCTGTGAAATTTTATCCACAAAGACGCGAAGTTCGAATTTTACCCAATAGAGTCAGACATTCTTTAATAGAAAATAAGCGGATTGAATCTACTCTCGGATCGAGCTATCTTAGCTCGACCAGAATGTGGAGGACCAGATGATGTGAGATATCATGCCAGGTCAGCTAGACCCAAGAAACCGACCTATTGGACTGGGTAAACCGATAGGTTGATTGGAGCTTGAGGTCGAATGAAGAGCACTCAGGTCAACAGATAAGAGGCATTTAAGTACAGTGTACGGGTCGAGCGGCCTAATGGAACCTCGACTTGTCGAGGTTCTGGTCGAATCATTGACCTCAGTACTTAGTAGGTGAGCCACGTGAGGAAAGTGTTCTACCTGGTGACGAAAAGATGGTCTCATGATTGGATCGTTTGATAAAGAAGACAAATGGACAAACAGACATCTAACTCGAAAGTACCGGTATTCAGAGATTAGACCACGTGTCACAACGAGATTGGGTTGTTTGGCCACCTTACAAGTCTGGCGCCTAGAGTAGTGCAAGTTGTACGGACGGGCAACATGGGCAGCTTTTCGGGCAAGCTTGGGGAGCAAGACACCACACCCCTATATAAAGGGGTGTTATATAGGGGTGTGGTAGGTCAATTTTCTCTCTTGACACTTTGGCTACTGAATATACACTGTTCATTATCTTCTTCACTACACTCTCTCTCTTCCGTTCTGACTTAGGTATCAGAGGCTCTATGCCGGAGACAACCCCCGACATTGAGTTTGTGCAGGTGTTGAAGAGCATTCAATGGCAAGGAGGTATATCAACTTGAGTCTAGTCGGTTGAAGGTCTTTTTACACTACATAGACATGACCAAATCCAGTTCCAGGTGGGAACCGCTAATTCCGGGCCAAGGATTGGCCGACTCTGACCGACCCGAACATATACACGGGCCGGATCAGTGAACCGTCGATTTCGAGCCGGCCCGATTCATTAAAAAAGTAAAAAAAACAATTAAAAAAAAAATCAAAAAAAGGGTCAAACCACCAAGCCAAAACTGGCCTGGTCAAACCACAAACCTGATTCAAGGGTCGTTGATCACGGGCCGATTCCAAAAAAATAGTAAAAAATTAATAATGATCAACTGAATTTTATCAAATCTAATTTAGATTCAATCTGGAAAATGATGGTTAATTTTGAACCTTTTTCATTTAAGCGTGTTGATAAAAATGTGTATTATAAATACTTATGTACGATCAACTATGAATTATTGAAAAAATGTGTATGATTATCAGAATGAAACCAACCAAACATAAAAATATAAAATAATATATAAATGTTGTCTGTCTACTCAAAGTCATTAGCATTTATAAAATTTCAATCAATCCCTTCCACATACAGACGTGAATAAGTCCTTTTCTAGAGAGAGAGAGCCACCACAGTACAACTGTACAAGTTCCTTCTTTTATTAGAGAGAGAAGACGGCCGAGTCTGCTTACGTCAAACCGAGCCAAGGCCTTCCCCATTATCTTTCAATTATTTTCGATTTGTTTGCGTTATCTGTTAGCTGAAGGAAACTGATGATTTGTGATTTTGGAGCGTAATTTGTTGGGGGCAAGCAGCTGCGGAAGAACGGTGAGGATTATGGGAAATTGCTGTTCTTTTTGTAGGGCTTGATGCTGCTTGGGAACGAAGGTGACTTTCTGGTAAGCTTTGAGTTATTCGTTTGGGTTTTGGATATTCTGCTTGTTTGTTTCTGCTCTGGCCTTACATTTATTTATTTGTGTCATTCAGTTCTATTTGACAGTTTCATTACATGTAAAGGGAGAAAATAGAAGAAGGAATTATGGAACAATATCAGTAATGTTTTTGTAAATTTTCTTTTGACCATGTTGGGAAATAAAAAAAAAAATTGTGCCATTTGCTTATCTTGAACTTTTTCTGGGGTCTGGTATCATAGTGAGAAAAACATTAGCTATGTGTGCGTGTGTAGTTTGGATCTAAAAAAATTCTCTTTGATCTTAGTTCACTAGTGTTTTAATAAGTAAATTGGTGCATTTTCCGCTTATCAGTATTCCTTTGTTGGATTATGGGTTGTATCATTCATTTGCGGTTCTTCTTTATTTGATGGATCTGTATTAATTACACTTACGATGCAACAGTTGACAAAATAATGAGTCAGATATCCCAAACATACTTTGGTGAAGATAACCTTTGTTGCACATTTAAGTTTGAGCTTGAGAAACTAGAACTCTTAACTATTCCCTTTCTGTATCCAGGCCAAATTGCAAAAATCTTAAGGAGATGGCTTCAATTTGTGCGGATTTGAATTTCTATCTAAATAATCTCTATTTCCAGCTATTGAGATAGTGGCAAGCAGTATTGTGTGACCTGTTTTCATTAGTCGGCAGAAGTGACTTTTGCATCTGCACATCAGTGGCAATCATCAATCGCCACCTATATTTGGAGCTACAAGCTTATAGTAGATTTTTGAGTTGTTTTTCCAATGGCACACCTTGCAGCTGCCTATTTTTCCCCAGAACCATCCCGAGGTCTGAATTTTGCATCTTCATTGTCAGTGTTAGCTAATTTTTTTAGGTGTTGTTTGGATGCATCTGGTGACCCAATTATATTCTTTGTCGTGAAGAATCTTCAGGTGGATGCTTTTATTACTTCAATCCCAACCCTCCACTAGGGCCATTGCAAAACTAAACCTATTCGGGTTCCCTTCGCATTTTAGTTATATATGAATATGTCTTTCTTATATTGTTGGGTTATGACGGACGAATGTGAATAACTTGGCTATCTCTGCCTGTCTAGTAGTATTCTACGGTTATATCAATAGCAGTACCTGAAAGTAGCTTCTAGAATTAGTCAACATGTTGTAAGGGCTGTTTCATCTACATTATCTGTTTATAGAGAAAATAAGGTCAGAATAATTTAGCATAGAAATGGTTCTTGCACTTACAGGGGATATATAATTTGGTATAGACTTTGTAAATTTTTTCCGGGTTCCAGATTGAAAAAGTTTTCTTTTCCTTCATCTTAATCTAGCTACATTGTTTTTCTAAGTGTGTATATACACTTACTTTTTTTATTCCTTATGTGTGACTTTTGTATCTATTGTCAGCCCCCTTATTTGGTGCCTGGTTTATATTACAGGGGCCTCAAATGAATCTCTGTTTAAAGAACTTTGGCATTCCTGTGCTGGTCCCCTTGTCACCCTTCCTCGGGAAGGAGAACGAGTTTACTATTTTCTGCAAGGTCACATGGAACAGGTTTGGTGGTTTTTTAGGTTCTTGTAACAACTTACACACACGAATAGAATCTCTCTCTCATCATCATCACTGGACTTTAAACACAAAAATCTAGAAACTGTTTCAGTGTTGAGTTTATGCAATTCCAGTGGCTTATATATATTTTGTTGTGGTGTCATCTAGCTTGAAGCATCAATCAATCAAGGACTTGATCAACAACTCCCTTCATTCAACTTACCCAGCAAAATTCTTTGCAAGGTGGTGCACGTTCAGTTAAGGGTAAGGCTCGTTGACTTTGAGCAAAAGCAGACTTTCTTTTTTCCTGTGCAGCTTGCTTGTGCCCAAAATTGAAGCCCTTATCTCTTCCATGTTTAATATTGGCTTATTCTTTTATTGTAGGCTGAAACAGAGACGGATGAGGTGTATGCACAAATAACACTGATTCCTGAACAAGATGTAAATTCAAATTCCTAACTCTGGCTATCAAAATGTTGCATTATCAATTGATGTGGGCACTCTGACTTTTTCGTTCCTGTTGTTTCTTTCTCCCCGGATGCTAAGGCGTAGTTATTGACAATCCATGCTTAAGATCTAATGTAACTATAGGCTCTGTATGGTTATATTCGTAAATCCTATTCGTGATATGATGGATATTCTCCATTTTAGTTGATTCAGGACTAAGTTTAGTAAAGCTTGTTCATGGAAGCAATGTTAATCTAGTAGAGATTTAAGCTGTAATGCAGTTACGTACCTTTCTCTCTTGCGTGGCTATCAGCCTATCACTATTAGAACCAGAATTTGCAAACTCTGATCAATGGATTTTTTTTTTTTTTTTTNTCCTAATTATTTGCTAGCGTCAATTACTTTGGCTCCTTGTGTTTTTTTGCAACCTACATTTATCGGAATTTTTGCTATATTTGTTGGATCAGCAAACTGAGGTCATGAGTCCAGATCCGCCTCTACCTGAACCTCCAAAATGCACTGCCCATTCATTTTATAAGACTCTTACTGCTTCTGATACAAGCACCCATGGGGGATTCTCGGTTTTACGAAGGCATGCTGATGATTGTTTACCTCCATTGGTACAAATCTTTTGATTATTGAATCCTGTCCAAGCACTACTTTTTATTTTTCTTTTCCTTTTATCTATCAGCTAACTTTTTGAGATACCATCCATGTTGCAGGATATGTCTCAGCAGCCGCCCTGGCAGGAATTGGTAGCTTCTGATATTCATGGAAACCAGTGGCATTTTCGTCACATCTACCGAGGTAAAAAATCTTTTTACTCAGTTCTGGATGCTCAAGCACACACAATATGATCAAATAGGAGCTGTAGCATTTTTACAGATTTTTTAAGTTGCAATTTTAGAAAGTATAAGAATCCATTTGTGTTCCGGATTTACATTATGGTCATGAATCAGAATGAATATAAACCGTAATGATATAGGATGCCCTCTTTATCGTCTCCAAGCTCGTTTCTGGTTAACCCATGTTTCATTATTATCACTTGAAACTATCTGCAATTCATTATAATTGGACTAGTGATTTCAAAACAGAAACTAGCCATTTGACCTCCTTTTAATTGTCTCTGTCTTGAATGCTAGTATTCTGGTTAGAATCGAATTGTGTTGTTCGAACTTTGTGTCTTTTGTACCAACTGGTGTCCGTGTAGCATAATATAGCTCTTGTTATGGTAATAACTTCGATTGTTAATGCTGATATCTGCTGATGTCATTTTCAGGTCAACCAAGGCGACACTTACTGACAACAGGGTGGAGTGTCTTTGTTAGTGCCAAAAAATTGGTTGCAGGAGATACTTTTATCTTCCTAAGGTACAAAATGAATGCCGAGTCATGTTTTTGTTTTTCTTATCAAGTTAATTTAAATTATATCCTGTTGATGAAAACTTTACAGGGGAGAGAATGGGGAACTTCGAGTTGGAGTGAGACGGCCCATGCGACAGCTCAATAATGTAGCATCTTCTGTGATATCAAGTCACAGTATGCATCTTGGTGTTCTAGCCACTGCATCCCATGCCCTCTCCACTAGGACTCTCTTTTCGGTTTTTTATAAACCAAGGTTGCTCCTCTTTCTTCATTTTTTTCTAATTATATATTCCATCGATGTAGGCAAATGCTCCCTAAGAAGAAATTTGCAACTTTCCTTCTATGAAGGGTTTTGTTTTATTCTGTAAATTTAAGCCTGGAGTTGAATTCCAGGGAAGATTCTAGAGATTTGGCACACACACACACAAAAAAAAAAAATAATAATATAATAAAAATATTAATAACAAATAATAATGGTGATGATGATCGCTGTAGATGATCTATGTAGCCTTTGTCTAGTCCCATTTCTGTATAATTTCACATTTCTGGTAATATGGTTAACTGAGAATTTTTTTATTGATATAGTTAAATTCCAACTTCTATCTTCCAGGACTAGTCCATCTGAATTCATTGTAAGTGTAAACAAGTATCTTGAAGCTAAAAAACAGAAGCTCGAGGTGGGGAAAAGGTTTAAGATGAGATTTGAAGGTGACGAGGTTCCAGAAAGAAGGTAACACGAAGCATTTTTCTGGTTAGTTGACTTCTTGAGAGCATTCCCAACTGAACATTTATAAATAATCATCATCATTATTTCTTTGTACAGGTTCAGTGGGACAATAGTCGGTGTGGAGGATCATTCTTCATCCAGATGGCCTCATTCTGAATGGAGATCATTGAAGGTAATTAACAGAAGAACTGTAGCTTTTAATTTCAATTTTATGTGGAAATGACCATTGCTTTCTTGGAAAAAAGCCTTTTATTTGTAACTGCAACAGCATCTCACAAATTAAGTTCCTTATAAGGATGAGGAACAGCATATTTACTTACATCTCGCTCCATCTGTGCAACCAGGTCCAATGGGATGAACCTTCCTCAATTTTGCGCCCAGATAGAGTATCACCTTGGGAAATTGAACCACTTGTTACTACAAATCCACAAAATTTACTGACTCAACAAAGAAACAAGCGGCCACGTCCACCCATTTTGCCTTCTCCTGTGCAAGAATTAACTGCACCAGGTATAATATCTTTCTGTGATGTGTTTATCAATTCTACCATGCCATATTTTTAGGTATATATTAATTGAGTTGAAATGGGCAAAAAGTCTTCAAGTTTTTTGTGTTGCTAGTTTTACTCCGTGCAGTTGCACGAAAAGAGATATAAGAAAAGAGAAAGTAATTAAAAATATAGAATAAAATAAAAATCAAAACTTAATAAATGAGAAAAAAATAATTTAAAAAAGTGAACCTAAATATTATTAAATACTTCTTTATATTCAACATTCGTGGTTTTTCGTCAGAATCCCCATCACAACAAATCATTATCGTTAAATCCCTTCGACTCGTCACTCTGGGATTTTGATTTTTTAAAATATTTTATGTATCTTTGTATTATCCAAAAAAAAAAAAACTATTATTGTATGACTGTAATAGAAGATAGAGATATTTGTAGTCATTTTTAATTAGTCGTGAAAGATGTATTTATATAATACCAAAGAATATATAGTATCCAAATAAAAACAAAAATATTATGTATTTCAAGACATAAAAAGGCATTACAGAAATGAGCACATTCCAAAATAAGACATGTCAAAATAAATTGTGTAACTGAAAGTTACATATTTTTATTCGATGAACATATTTTTTTGAACACTTATTTTTATTAAATGAACTCATATTATTATTAATTGCTAGCTGAATAAAATTTATTGAAGCTTGCCAGCAATTATATATATATATATATATATATATATATATTATTATTATGATTAACCTCAGCCATTCTTTAAAGTTACAATTTACCATTAGTGGTCTAGTTCTGAAGGAAATTCCACCCTCAAGGTGAGGTGTTTGTAATATATATTAAGGGCTTTGTAATTTGTGTGTACAATTCGGTTTCTTTGTATCAGGTACATGGAAGCCTCAAGCTGAACCACTTTCTACATTCTCTTATCACGTTTCTTGTCATGAACGAGACCCCTGTCAATCACCCAAACGAGCTCGTGGCCCGGGACCCAGCAACATGACCCACAGCAAAAATATTCTGCCAGCTTCAGGCAAATCAGTTCACCAATCAAATCAAATAGAAAATGCTGCAGAGTCATCTGCACCTGTTAGCGGAATAATACAGGCGAACGGCTGCAGGCTGTTTGGTATTGACTTGATTGACCGTTCTATTGTGGAGGACGCAGCAACACCAGCAGCTTTTTCGGCTGCTGCAGTCGACGATTCTCATATTTCTCCATTTGATAATGAATTCGAGCAACATTCTGAGCCATCAGACCGCAATCTTCCTTGTGTTCCCTCAGGGAGTTATGATCTCGACAGGTCAAAGCCACACAATAGGCAAACTCGGAGCTGCACTAAGGTACTTATGGCTTTCTCATACGACTTCCTTCAAATGGTCCTAGATGTTAAATGGGGAAAAAAGGAGTGCACACACACACACACACGTACGTTTGCAATATCAGTGACTTTGTGATCATGATATGCACTGGCCACTTGTCATGGACTGTTTCTTCCCTAGTAGAAAATGTAGTAAAGTTTTAAAGTGTGTATTTCGTGGTGTATGAAGTTTTTTATGCCGTCATTAATCTACAACGGTCTAGCGTGTTGGTTTTTATTTGGTGCATTGTCATCTGGAAATCTGTGTATAAAACATTAGGACTGTTCGTATAGGTTCATATGCAAGGGAGTGCAGTTGGGAGAGCACTCGACCTAACTGCGTTCAGATGCTATGAGGATCTAATCAAGAAATTGGAAGAAATGTTCGAAATTGAAGGTGAGCTCTCTGGGTCGACCAAGAAATGGACGGTTGTCTACTCAGATGATGAAGATGACATGATGATGGTTGGAGACGATCCATGGCAGTTAAGTTTTGAATTTTATTTCTCTTGGTATAGTTATACATATTTGTTTTGTGATGCTTTAATGATGCTTCGTTTGTGATAAACAAAGAAAACTTAAGAAGATCATTATAATTGCATTTAACTCTACATTATCCTCTTAAAGGAGAAGAAATGTGAACAAAAGAAAGATATGGTACATTGTTTCATTCTGTTATGTAAGTCATTTCCAAAGTGCAATGAACCATCTGGGGTATACTTCTAATACAATGATATTGTATTTCTCTTTATTATATTGCAGCGAGTTTTGCTTGATTGTGAAGAAGATTTACATCTACACAACAGAGGCTGCCAAGAGGCTTTCTCCCAAGATTAAGCTTCCCCTTGATGAGTTCAAATCTGGGAAGCTCGTACCTACTGTTGCCTTCGTGACTGAAGAACAGTCTTCTACGTTGGGATCTGGCAAATGAGACCTTGCTTGTCTTTCAATCGTAATGTACCTAAAAAAGCACTCAAGGGAAACGAAGAAAAGGAAGAAGTGTAGAGAGAGAGAGAGAGAGAGGTCAACCATGATTTTGACGGTTCTTTTAGGTGACAATAAAGATTGGATGGATGATTCTGAGTATGTATGTGGTGGTTTGGATGTGCCCGAAGGTTAGTTTACTGGTTTTGTTCTCATATGATCATATTAATGGCAGTATGTGAGGATTATAGTTGTTTGGTAAGGATAAAAGGTCCCGTTTTAGTGTAACGTTAATGTTTGTATATAGCCAGCCAGCCCTGGGAATCCTATGGTGTAGTAAATGATTCTGGCACTGTTTAGGCCCATTTTGAATAGATACTTGTATGTGTATTTTCTCAAAAGTTTTTCAAATTAGAAATAATTGAAGTAAGTCACTTAATGAGCGGTCTTCGATGTGGCATTCGACTTGGATTTTGGATCTTGATCTTAATACTTACAATTGAATTGTGAGTTGGATTATTGAATTGTGAGTTGGATTGTGGCAGTCTTGGACTTGGATTTTGGATCTTGATCTTAGTACTTACAATTGAATTGTGAGTTGGAATGGGACAGTGTTGGGTTTGAGCTGGCTCAACTTATATAAACTTTTGGGGAATTTACACTGTCATACTAGATTTGAAAAAAATTGCAACTTCACGATGGATGGCATTTTAATTTCACATGCACTAATTCACGGTAAATTAATTATGTAGATACAGCCATACAGGACATCGGTTTTCAAAATAAACAAACTCCTTCCCCTTAATTTAAGCATCATACATCAGTTTCCAAAATAAATATAACTCCTTAATCATCATATGCGTTTTGAAGAGAGAAAAATAAATATTGCATTGTAAGAGTGAGACTTGTTATGAATCGAGAGCCTCGATTTGTCAGTAAATAATTTTGATTACATGACATGTCGTTGAAATTATTTACGGTCACTGTGTCCCGGTGCGTATGATTGATGACGTCCTCGAAATGAACTCAAGGATTATTATGTCAAGGTCTACAGGCGAATTGAACTCCAACAAAATAAGAGATAATTAAGTGGTACTAATTTTGGATCAAAAGTTGATTAATTATATTGTCACTAATTAAATTAATAAACAGATGTTAGATCTTCATATAGGGAGGTAAATCAAGCAAATAAATCTGGAGATGTATTATTTATGATTTGAGGTTAAATTGAAAAATCAATAATACTTTTTAGTGGAATAAAGTATTATTCATGTGTGAATGGTATAGGTAGACCATGACCTGCAGTTGCGTTCACACATGAAGAGTCTTTATTTAATACCTCGTTTGGGTATCTGTTGTAGCATATAAATACATCAAGTCCCAAGAAGCAATTCATCTGGTTCTTAAGTAAATAATTCTCGGTTGAAAATTCGAGAGAATTAAAGAGAAAAAATGGAGAGATCTAAAAAAGAAAATCAAAGACAATAGTTCTTCCCCAAAATCAATCGGGTGTGAGTTTTAAGGGAGATTTGATGAGTCGCCCACGAAATTATACTCGGAGTAGGTGACCGGTCATACAACAGAGGATTCAAAGGTGCCCCTTCGTCCCGTTCTGTAGACCGAGTAAGTCTGTAGAGTCTGCGAAAAATATTACACCCTAAGTTCTTAATGCTAACTCTACATCTGTTGCGCTAGGATTAAATTTTTAGAAATTCATTTATACACATCAATCGACGACGTTCGTCGTATAACCCAACATCATCTTTAAACACGACCCTAAGCCGTAAGAGGGTATCGTACTTTTCACATAAACCCTAACCTAGCCTCTTCATATATATTCTATTTATAGCTGCTCACAAGAGTATCGTGTGACTAGGACGAAAGATAGAAATGGTAAACCTATCACTACCTTACAACTCAGTAACGAAGAGATAAAACAATCTAAGCTACAAGAAACATTTCTATCATTGCATGTAGGGCAACAGGGTGAGCTGTCTTTGTGCACGGGACAACTAAGCTGACATAGTGCATAGGAATCTCTAACTTAGTCTTTGACTGTGATCGATATCCATCTTCAATCTCAATTAAAAATATTACTTAAAAGTTCTCAAATTTGATGGTTTATTCGATGGCATTCTCAAATTCGAAAGTTACTCAATACATACTTGAAGGATAGTAAGGTAGATCGCTGGTAATTTATTTATTAAAGGTAAACAGACGATAATTAATTTCGTCCCGCTTCTAATGACTAGGTGAACTAAAATCATTTAAAAAAAAAAAAAATGAAAGAACAATATAAAATGCCGATTGATTTTACTTTACATAAAGGTTGGGCTTAGTTGGGAGGCAACGGTCCAATAATTTATAAAATAAATTGGTATTCGTAACGGATAGAACACAGCTCCTCTGAGCTTTACAGCACAGAACAGATCTTTTTTCTTCACATTCACACACAAGTAAACTGGCCATCACAAATTCAAATATACTCTTCTTACGCATACATAAACACATAATCAAAAGAATCAAAAGAACCAAGATGAAGGTGATCTCTGCCATAAGAAAGCTAAAGCTCTGGCCAAGAAAGAAGAGAAAAAAGAAGACTTTACTAACACACTCACCGGCGCCGCCACCATCCCGGCCGCCTCCACCTCCACCGGCGTATTTTCCGGTCGACAGCCATTACGAGCCGCTTTTGCCTTCGGCCCCGCCCTTGCCCCCTTGGCTCGAATACGATTTGCAATTCCCCCTGAAATCCGAAGCTAACTCAGTCTTGCATAATTCGATTACAGACAAATTTAAACCCTATTGTTCTGAGATATCAGATTCGCAGGAAATTATTGAGGCCGAGGAAGATTCTTTACATGATTATATGGTTTCGAGTCCGATTAAGTATGAGCAGAGCGTGGTCCCTCGGCTCGAGAAATATGAAAGGGGTAATGGCGTTTTTGGGCGAGTTGTTGGGTTTGGTGTTCATATTGTGCGCTGTGTATTTCCTTGCTTTCATGTCAGAGAAGTTGTTAGATTAAATGGTTAACTGGTTTGGGGTATACAATTTGGTTCATTTCTGAATTCTGATGTAAAATATGAAAATAATGAAATTCCATACCCTGGACTTGATTTTTTTTTTTTTCTTTTTCTTTTTCCTCGGAATGGTTTTGACTTTCGAGTACTTATTCCCACTGTTTTAAGGCGGCAAGTTATATGGATTGTCGAGATATATATACATATCTTAGCTTCGTTCGTTGGGCAAAAGATGCTCGACTGTAAAGGAGAGGGGTGAAGACGCTTTGTGAGAATACTCAACTAAGAGTTGTGTTTAAGCAATTTCGCTACCTTAGGACTGTCATAGTTACGGTCTCCGTTTATCGGGGCTTCGATCGCCGGCTTCAAGTCACCAATTTTCTTAGCCTAGGTCAGGTTAATCGTATTTTGGGCTGTAGCCAGTGTTTTAAATACCGTATTGGTAAGCATATCGGACGAGCCAAAGGTACGTGGTTCAACCGGTTCAACCGGTATTGCCGTCTATTTTATCGGTTTCAATAAATATTAAATTAATTTATATAAGATAAATGATGTACAAAATTAACTTTAACTAATACTAAAATTAATTAACATCTAATAACAATGTAAACATATTAAAAATTATGTGTAGAACTTTCAATTTATATAAGAAAATTAATAGAAATATCCTAAAAAATATTTTTTTAAAAAAAATTGGCATAAACCGGTATTTTGACCGGTATTTTGGCCGGTATTTGCCGGTAAAACTGGTATTTTCCGCTATAAAACTGATATAAATCAGTATTTTGGCCAAAACGGTATTTAGAGTGTAACCGTACCGGTCGGACCACCGGTACCCGATAATACCGGCCGATACGGTACGATATTTAAAACATTGGCTGCAGCAATGAACCTATTTGAAGTGGCTCATTTTGTACCAGAGAAGCTTATGTATGAACAAAGATTTTTATTTTATTTTTCCCAAAAACCACAACGTAATAATAATCAGCGACGGATCCAGAAATTTTTATGAGCCAAGGCAAAAAATAGTTTAAAGAAATTTTTAACCATATTGCACGAAGTACTTTTATATTAACAATTAAATAAATCATTGGAACAATTGGGTGTTGAGGGGTTCCCTATTCAATTTGTCTGACTTAATGCTAAAAAATAAAATTGAGAATGAGGTTTAATTATTTTATTTTGGTTATTTTATTTTGCATATTTATTATTATTAAGAAATATACCAAAAATATTTTACAATCATTTTTCCTTCATTTTTTGTGTAATAGGAAATAAACAAGTCATTTGGAAATATAATTTATTAACTTAAAAAAGCCTAAATGTCATTATTTTTGGTTATGTTATTTTATAAAGATTTCCTTATGGATTATCTTCTTATATATAAATGTAGAGTTTTTCATTGTTAATTTCCAATGCTTTGTAATTCTATATGTTAATTTCAAAGGATTCGAAATAGTCCATATAAATATGAATTTTTATCCAGAATTTTCAAGTTTAGACGCTTGGGTAACATAAATTGTAAATATATTTTAAAAGTTAATAACATTTGTATATATTATCATTTTTTATATATGATAACTTAAATTTTAACAATGTATAATTTGACATTCATATTGTATATATAAATTAAAATAATTATATCTATCTGATCTCTGTCAATAAAAATTTAAATATTTATCTATTATAATAAAAACAATAAATTTATCCATCAAACTTATTATATGGTATAAGTACTAAAAATGTTCTAATATAATATCGTCGAATCTGACTGGTGAGGTGTATCATTTTAAATAAAAACAATTATGTTATTTTGTAAGAGTTATTTAAAATTTTAAAACAAAACTTGTATTTATATTTTTACATATATTAAATATAAATTTTTGATTAACTCATATTAATTATGTGTAGTTAGCACAAAAAATTGAGCCTACGCAATTGTCTAGGCTGGCCGTAGTGTGGATCCGCCATTAATAATAATAATAATATACTTGGTTACAAATCTTATTTGTCTGTTTATTTATTTATTTGTTCACTTATTTATACTTTTGCCTCAATTAATTGTATACTAAGACACGTTTAGCGTTGTATAAATTTAATTATTCTATTTTGCATTCATGAATACTACAATCTACTACAATATGAAAAATATATTGGAGAGGAAACCAAACTATAAAATAAAGATGAGAGGAGTTAAAAAATATTATTATTAATATAATATTTAATATTTAATTTGGGATGTTACAGGAGAGACCGAGAACAATGCGTGCAACCACGCAGACCGCACGCATGCGAGAGGACCACTTGGCACCTATGCGCAAGGTCAACCGGCTAGAGGACCACGCGTAACTCCTCTCTTTCCTATGAACTGAAGTTGCATGTGACTAACGTAGATCCGTTTAATGTTCGAGTCGCTAATATTGGGAAACAATTAAGGTGCTCTGAATTATTCCAGAGTTTACCTACTGAAGCAATTATTCCGAAGTTCACACACTGCGTTAAGATTTATTTTTAATAGATTCGAATGTGTACATCGACGATGTTCCTCATAGAACCCAACACTTATTTCCTAACCTGGTTTATAACGTCATTGACATACTTCATCATACCACATTTTGACTATCATGATAAGTAAGACATTACACTGTTACAGCATGAGTGAGCCAACAAAATCCTGTTAACAAACTGAAAAAGGAAAACAAGAAACAAAAACCTCTACTGATACATAGTTGCAAATAAGCTAAGAGCATCAAACTTTTTGAATGAGTTGAACTGGGTGAAATGTCTAGGGCAAATTTTCAGAAATACCTCACATCCAGTTGGGCCAATTCTGTAGAAATACCTCACATCCAGTGTCCCACACCATGCACTACATGCACGTCAGAGTGAAAGTTGTCTGAGTTCTCGAAGACAAAAAAAATTCACATAATCCCAAAGATGGTAGACTTGAACCGTTGGAGCAAGGACTGTCTCAGGCAGACGAACCATTAGTGCTCTGAGTCACTTTTAACTCGACTCATCTTTCGGCAGCAAAATCCATCTCTTCCTCAAATCATAAAAAATTAGGACAATCTCTTAATATGTAGCCTATAAGTATAAAGATGCTGCAAAGACAATATCCCTTTTAATCTTAGTAACGGCATCCTCGAATTTCGTTTCAAGATCCGTCTCGCCAATTGACTTTGCTGCTTGTATCAGTTGCTGAAGGACTTCTTCCAGTCTCCGAATTGCACGAATCAAGCTGCCCTCAAAAACCGGTGTCATTTCCATAATTTCATAAAATTTGGATCCGCGAGCCCAAGCGTAAACGGCCTCCATAACATCTGGTCTAAAGGAACTCACAAAATTCTCGACGTCAATTTGGACCTGAAACACCAAATCACAAATGTTAGAATGCTTCAAACTTTTCAACAATAATAAGTTCAAAAACATCACAACTAGAAAAAGAAAAATATATAAAGGAAAAATAAAGTAGGAAAAAGCTGCAGTGCCTTGCACTCAAGCTGAACTTTAGCCACTTTACGTGCAGTATCCTGTAATTGTGTGAAGAGCAACTCAAGCTCATCCCTGGGCTTTTGAGCTTCCTGAAGCTTTTCTTGCCACACAAAACATGAGAGGAGAGATATCATCTCCTCCACCTTTACGTCCTTCAGAAGCCCACTGAACATAAGTTCGGTTAAAGTCAATTCATCCGCACTGCTGATTTCACATGCTACTTTCCCCTTCAACTCCACGACGTCATCACTAGTAATATATCTGTATATTTTTAATACATTTAGCCTCTCATATTAGAGATATTTCGTCATTGAATAAGAAATGAAGGAAGATGTAAAGAAATATGAACACTGAGGTCAATGCTGCAGGTACAGGATGCAGAGTAACGAGGTTGTTCTAAAAATCAAAACTTTGCTCAAACTTCTAAACAAAGAATGCTTCTGTCTACAATTTTTTCCCAAAATTATTGATGTTGTTAATCAGATGAAGTATGAGTTTAGGGGCAAGAAGACAAAAAATCTTCGAAACAGACGGCTCCTTTCATCTCCCTAATCGTATTAATACTAGTGCATCCAGAACCAATAGAGCTAGAGATATAAAAAAAAAACATAGATAACTTGTGAGCAAATGAACAAACAAACTTGCCCACAAATGCCAAGACATGTGCATACTGAAAAGTGGCGACTTACCCTAGTCTCCTAAGTACTCTTTTCCTTGCTTTAAGTTCATCTTTGAAAGCCAAGACCGAGGAAGATTTCATTGTTCTCTTTATTAATTTGATTTTTGCTGTAAGTTCTTTCTTCGTATGCAAAACATTGAGCTTTTGCTCAATCAGTGGAGATTTGGCAACTTCATGCTTTTCAAAAAGGTTTTCCAGTGCTTCTATCCTTCGTGATGCCTTCCTGTACGAGCTGTTTTGAACCTGGATAAATGACGGATGTCAGTCGGATAATTGAGTGGAAACCTGAGCAGCATTAAATGACCTAAAAGAAACAAAAGTGGTAGACACCTTCATGTCATCTTCTGGATCTAGACGAGGCATGCCTTCTTTTGCAAATCTATTGAGAACTTCACACACCTTTTTCAACGTGTTTTCTCGTGCTTCTAATGGCAGAAGATCCTTCGGTATTACTAACCGGATACTACTTAAGCTATCAATCTGCTTACAATAAATTAAATGAATATGTTAATCCTCTATATAATCAAGGTACAACAAGCATGCTGCTTTAAGTTTTATGCATATAAAAGAGTACTGTCTGACATATATATCATTCATGCCAAGGAACCAAAAATTAGTTGTACCAATGATCTCATTTTTACAGAACTCGAGTCATATTAAAAACTGAATAGTCCGCATTCATCTTTTCCTCAGATTCACCGTGTCTACCTTCCCCTTTGACTTGACAGCAAGTGAATGTCGAGAAAAAAAACACACACACACACACACAGTAACAAAAATCATGAAAGACAACAATGCAGGTAAGAATTGCCTGTGAAATAGGAATTGAAATAACAGCTGGTTCTCCAGGATCTTTTAATGGAAGAATCTTGATTGTTTTCTTAGCAATTTCATCCTTGTGGACTCTACATCTCGTGAGAACATCCACTGTGTAGCTTGCATCTTCTGGCTTCTCGATGACATCATCTGAATTAAACATTTATTAATGAACAATGATCATAACGTGAAAGAAGCAAAACCGTCGAGCTGACTGAATTAGCCTCTCACCTTCAGATGGTACTTTAACCCTCTCAAAATTTATTATAACACCCCATGTTACCTCGTCATTTAAAGAGAATGACGAGGAACCCTCATCATTTATTGTGCATTGGATTGAAACAAGCCTTCCAGGTTGCAGAAAGGGTAAGCAGTATTTTGGAGAATTTACTATGTCACGGATGTCCTTCTTCAAAGATTTGTATTGTTGCAGAAGAGAATAATAATTGTCCAAGCTATCTTCCTCTTCTATTATAATGGAATCCCTCTCCTTTTCCAGGGCTTTTGCTTGTTTCTGCAAGGAAAAGGAAGACATTAAGAATGATTTCATATCTGAGACCTCTTAATGATATTACAATTGCATCAAATCAACCAACCTCGAGATCCGGAATGGATCGATCTGCTTGAAACTGATAGAAAGAATTACGAAGCAGATTTTCAGGATCACCGTCTTCAGATCGTATTTGATTCAAAAGCATATTGTAGCTTAAGTGAAATGCGCTGGATTAAGAAAACAAATTATCAGAGAGATAGAGAGGAGATGACAGAGTATTTCACCAATAAAACTTATTTTTTAACATATGCAAATCGCAAAATTCTTAAATTTAAAAGATTTAATCACATAGATGATAAAAGCATATAGTGAAAAATTATTTATAGCGAGCATTGATAAATTGTATTGTGTCTCATTACTTAATATATATTATTCATCAGATTCAATGAAATCCTTGAGAAAGTCAATTCGGAACTAGACCGATATTTCTAGCGAATGCAGTAAAGTAAAATCGAAAAATAAAACATCTTCATCAACTTATAACAAAACAACACTGCCCTATCAAGTTCTGTCCATGATGTCAGCAATACCACTGTCAGAACAACTGAACAAGCAATCCAACTTCTCCACGCAATAAAAATTATAAGGAATGCAGCCATATAGGAATCTTCAGTGACGTTTGGAACCCACCAATATGATATGCAGAACAAAAACATGAAAACATGTCTTGAGCAATAGCCATATCCCTCACTACCAAAATTTACATGCATCTACATGTTTAGAAGAATTCAAGCCAACTTCATTAAATTGGACATATATTTCTCAAATTTAAGTCCACTGCAGCGACACAACGGAGAAAAAGGACTTCTCAAGTAACTCATAGAAACGAATATTATCATAAAACAATAATAATAACAGCAAGAATGATCTTAGTTTTTACCCACTTCTTAACACGCTTATTAAGAATGTGACTGACTGACAAATTTGACAGTTCACCTGTTCAAAGGGTCTGCACTTCCTTTCAACATTGTTTTTGCTGTCGGAGGTTCTAGTTTCTCATCAACCATAAGGATGCAGATCCCACGTTCGTCAATTCCTCGTCGACCAGCACGACCACTCATCTGTATGTACTCTCCACTAGATATCCACCTAAACTTATCTCCATCAAATTTGCGTACATTAGTAAAGACGACAGTCTTGGCAGGCATGTTCAGCCCTATGCTGAATGTCTCTGTAGCAAACAAGCACTAAAGGACAGAAAAATAAAGAAAAAATATCAATAAAACTGAACAGAAAAGAAAAAGGCGAACTATAATTTGGAGAGCATGCAGATTTTTATTTAATTTAATTTCTGCGTTGGATTCAAGTGAAGGTCAATGTCGAAGGCATGTGACTTCAAAACAAATACTATGCAACACGTCCCACATAATATATGCTGTCATCAACTCTTGCCATAACTATTCAATGTTCGCCTTGTAAAATAAAAAAATGCAAATAAGACTTCATGAGTTATGAGTCAACACAGACAAACAAATGACCAATATGCGGCATGCTGCAAACTGATTCAGAAACTGAAGGGACTCAATTAATGACGGATCTTTTCCTACCAACCTTGATGAATCCTTCTTGGAACAAAATTTCAATGACTTCCTTTAGTATGGGAAGCAAACCAGAGTGATGCACACCTATTCCCCTTTTCAGCAAGGGCAGCATATTTGAGACCTGCAATGGGTCCACAAATGAAACTATAAAGTACGAAAACTATAAAGAAATCATAATAGCAGTAATCACACATCTTATTCTCCTACAACTGTACAATGATCTAACCTGAGGCAACTTTTTATCATCATCTGACAACATGTCCATAGCACTCCAGAAGATATTTTCAATGTTTACTTTCTCATCCTCACTATTTAGATCCATTTTCGACATCTGCTTAGAGAGAGAAAAATGTCAAGCCACTAACTAAAGATGGAAAAATAATAGCAAATTAGCAATTATGATAATCATTATTTCCATAATGTGCCAACAAGCAATATAACAATTAATAAATCACAGATTCAATCGAACCAAGTTAGCAACGTATTTCTTTCTATAGAGTACATCATTTACTTTAGGCTCATGTTGTTGAAGATATATAGCTCCGAGTTGAAGAGACGAAATAAGATTGCGGTTAAGGACCTTGCAAAGTAGGATGTATCCAAGTGTTTAGCCGCTTTGGATTACATATTATTCTAGTCATAAGTTTCTCACTAATTTAGATGATACAACAGATTTATTTAAATAAGTACAAATTGGAAGGATGAATGAGGTAAAGGAATTTGACAATTTTCCTGAGTCTCCTCATTGCAATAGTTTCTCTATTCAGAATTTCTGTTTCACCAACCAGAGACAAGCTACAAGAAGCAAAGCATATTGTGGAGTTCTTAAACATACTACTCAGAATTCTAGAGTAGAAGATTCAAGATGTTGCTAAGTTACTCACGTTTTAAAGCTCAGGCTATTTCCGATAACATGAACAAAGGTATGAATTTTAATGTGAAGAACATATCAATGACAATGAAGAAGAGGTAGTGCACTACAATCAAGTAGAAGAATTCAAACCTGCATAGCGAGGAATTCACATTCTCGTTTGCTGAAGCTGAAACATATTACGGGATCATACTGACGCATAATGATCATTTTCACCATTTTAAATATATCACTATCTTCACCCGATTTACCCAAAACTGCACCTTTCTGCCATTTCCTATTCTCCTTCTTTCTTTCTTCACTCATTGGATTGATTGCATTTAATGCTTTCTGAAAGCTGTCTTCCCGGAACTTACCATTCTCATCCACTGCTAAATATAGACCATCACCTCCAGAAGGGAATATGTAATGCTGAAGAGGTGTAGGTCGATAATCTGTATAGACAATATGACATGGTTGCTGATGCACCTTTGCTACCCAATCAGCAAATTCCTTTGCATTAGGCACTGTAGCAGATAGAAACACAAATCGAGAGTTCTTTGGGGCCATAACAATACTTTCTTCCCACACAACACCTCTCTCTCTGTCTCTCATGTAATGCACTTCATCAAAAATAATCCAAGCAACCTCCCTTATAACTTCTGATCCTTTGTACTGCATGCTTCGCCAGATCTCTGTTGTCATCACCTGAAATGACATATTCAAAAGTTAGATGCTTACAGAATCCAAATTAACACATTGGAGAAAACAAGTGTACGCTAAAAGTAAATCAAACCCACCAAGCAAGAAGCATTCGGGTCGATGGTGACATCACCTGTCATCAACCCAACATCTGAAAACTCCTCTTTGAACTCTCTGTATTTCTGATTACTAAGTGCCTTGATGGGGGATGTGTATATAACGCGTTGCTTATTTCGCAATGACATAGCTATGGCGTACAGTGCCACCACTGTCTTCCCAGCAGACGTATGTGCAGAAACCTGAAACACATTTTAAATTTGATTTCCATAAAAAACATACCGCACAACGCATTCTTTATCCTGCATGGACATAGACTGCAAACAAGCAGACTAAAACAAGAAAAGGTAATGAGAAGAACTTCCAATTTTAGGTATATACAGGTATAAATAATCTACTTTTCGAGTCCACTTAAACTCCATTCCTTCTATTTTTCTCCCTAAACAAGGCTGTTGTTACATCTTTCTACATGTGATAAAAGAAAGCCATAGATAAATACCATGACAGATTCGCCACTGTTAAGACACCTGATGGCTTCGAGCTGAAAAGGGTCCAGAGTAAACGGAAATTCCTTGGCCGGCGTTGAGTGTTCCTGGTTAGCCAAACTGGCACGGTGCACGTACCCTTCAGGATATGACACGTGGTGAAGGCAGGCCACTGGCTCGTCCACCAACACCATCGATTCATCCCCCTTCTGTTGCTTTGTTGGCGGAGTCCCGCAATCCTCGGTCCCATCTTCCAATGATTTCCTCTTTACTGACCCCATAACTGTCACTAAGAAAAATAATGAAAGCGTCACATGATGCATCAAACAGATAGAAAATACCCTATCGTACATTCGTACTTGTGTGAGGGAAAACTAAGGTGTTCTCCTTGAAGAATATAGCGGCCGGTTACTAATCAGGTCGGCAATTTTACGAACGGAAAAGGCAAGTTTTCGATTGGTAAAGTTTACCTGTCTCGATGACGGCGGCGGGCGGCGGAGGAAAAGATAGAGCGTCTAGCTTCGGCCCGGCAGCTCAAATTATGGAGGCGCAGAAAAAGGGAAAAGAGGTTTTGTGTTCTCCTCTCTAATTAGGGGTAATGCTTACGACGACGTATAGGTGCTAAAAATTAAAAATATTGAATCAATATATAATACAATTTACTTATATTAATTTATTGAAAATATTATAAAAAGTTTAAATTGTGCAAAATTACATAAAAATGTCTACTTAAAATTAGTATATAACCCGTGTGGTGCACATAACTGATAATAAATTACATTATATTCGTTTCAAAATAAGTAACATTTCAAAATTTTTATTCAGAAAATCGATTTGACTATATGTGATTACATAAAATAGTTATTTTGGTAAAATATCATATATTTAACAACCTATGTGAATAATAAGTATAAATATAAAATTTATATTGTTTCATTACTTGAAATAATTTATTATTGTATAAACTATTCAAATAAAAAAAAAGTAAATAGTTGAATAATTTATTAAACTATAAATAATTGACTATTTCGTTTACGTCCAATATTAACTCGTAAGTTATTGAGTAATATATTAAGTTATAAATAATTGACTATTTCGTTTACGTCCGAATTAATATTGACCAGTAAGTTATGAATAATTATTTTTTATTTTTAAATTTAAATAAAAATCTTTTTATTTTTTTCAATATATTATATACTAAATTTAAACCATGCAACTAATAAAGGTAATAGCTGCAAGTTTTGTCAATATATTATATTCTAAATTTAAATCATGCAACTAATAAAGGTAATAGCCGTAATATTTTACCAAAATGATTCTGCACATTAATTTAGGCAGGATTTTTAAAATTTTAGCCAAAAATATTACTATACTTTAGGCGGGAAACCAAATATTTTTTTGCTGATTTTTAGTTGCTATTTGAAGTAAATATCATTGCATCTATATATATTAATTAATAAATAGATAAGAGTTCCAATATTTTCAAATTATGCTTCCTTTAGGGTTATGGATTCGTTAAGTAGATCAATGCAATTATATTTAGAGATTTAGTTTAGTAATCTATTAATAAAAAAAAAATGACTTTTAGTGCACAATAATAACATAAAAAGATTTCATGCAATAAATCCGACTTTTAGTGCATAATAATAGCATAAAAAAGATTTCATGCAATTCCGATAAATTTTAGGAAGAATCTTGGAAAGTATTTTTACATTCTTAATATACTATTTCAGAATTTTAATTAGGTTAGAATACTATTTACTTTGTTAATTAGATCAGTGTAAATATTTATTGGGGACCTGAATGTGATATTTTATATGCAAATTTAACTTCTTAACTATAGTGGACATTTGCACAGTTTTCTGTTTTAGAATTTTTATTTTGTCAAATCTCTATCAATAAGAGTTTCAATATTTTCAAATTATATTTCCTTTAGGATTGTGGATTTGGTATTGTTATTCGTAATTATCATTTAAAAGATTACAAACTGATCTTGTGAACATTGGATTTGGAATTGTATTGCCATTACGTTTCTTTTTCTGATTTTTATTTAGCAAGAATCTTGGAAAATATTTTTGGTCATAATCTTGGGATTATTTTTCGTAATGTTTTAATTTCAAAGTATACAAACCGACATTGTGGATTTGTGATTGTATTGTCATTATGCTTATTGCTCATATGTTTGGGATTCTGTGGCGATTAAACGTACTGATAATTAGGTTTAAAATTAGTTTTAATTCTGATTATAAAACAAACATGAATAAAAATAATATATTTGCACAGATTTAAAAAAGTATTCGCACAGATTTTCACACGTTAAATTGTCCAATTTTAATTGGTAAACTATTTTTTAAAGTAATAAAGTGAAATTGTACGATTTAAATTGGTGAAATATTGATTAAATTAAATATTTTCATAATTTTTTATTGGCATAAAATAAATTGGGGAATTAATCTAATTGTTTAAATTGTAATTTTTTTTTGGCATAAAATAAATTAGAAAGAATTAATCTATTTTTGTAAATGAGCTAAAATCGTATTTTTTTTATTATCAAACTAATCATTTTTTAACTACCATAACAATCAGATTTTAGTGTAGTTAAAAAAATGAAGTGCATATTGGGTAGGCACTACGCAGTCTAGGCAAACTTAGGGGCAATATTATTTCCAAATTGGCTAAATTACTCCCGATTTTCTTTCCAAAGAAACCGAAATGAAACAATTCAAACTTTTGAAAAAATTCGAAGTCCAAAAATATATTACCCTATTTAGTAAATTTTATTGTTTAGGCCGGAATTGAAATGTTTTTTGTTGATTTTTTCTTGCTATTTCCAGTAAGTATCATTCCTATGAAAATATTCGAAGCCCAAAAAAACATTACCCTATTTAGTAAATTTTATTGTTTAGGCGGGAATTGAAATGTTTATTTGTTGATTTTTTCTTGCTATTTCCAGTAAACTAGTGAGCATCCCGTGCGATGCACGGACGGATTTTTTCCTTAAAACATTTTCTTAAAACTTTTTATATCAAATATATCATTTATATTTAAACATCTCATTATGGCAAAAAAAAATACAAATATGAAAAAATATATTTTTACTATTAATAGATATGATGGTTTCCGAAAGAGTTATTTCAGAAATATACTATTAAGAAATAGAAAAAAGAAATGTGGATAGCATACTATTAGTTTTACCTCACGCATGAGTGGATTGTTCTTTGAAAAAGAACTAATAACCTTGCTATAATATAAGTATTGTCCCAATTTTTTAGATAAATATGCACTTTCTGTTATGTAGATTGGAAAATATATATTGTATTGAAAAACGAAATGTTTAATGCTGGACATGTGTATGCATGAACTATCATTTGAGTCTATATTTATAGTCATAGATAATATGTAAAGTAATTATGCTCAAATATATATTAGTTGAATAATAAGGATGTATAAATAATAAAACCTTATTAGAGACCGTAAATAAGTCATTATTAGTTTTGTTGATTGGATGATTATGTTGTTGTTAATGTTCTATAACTTTATTTTTTTTTAAGCGCAACATTTGTTATGATTTAATTCAATTTCAATAATAATAATAAAAGAAACTAACTAAAGTAGATTTTCTTCATGAATTTTTGGGAATAAAATTTGCGAATGGAGACAATATAAGTTATAGGATATTTATGGATTTTTAAGCAAAACTGATTTTTCAATTCAGTAATGCTAAATTTCTTAGTGGGTGATTTATAATTAGTTATCTATGGAACATGATATAAATTAGAATTTTATTGCAAATAAAATAAAATTTTTGTGTCACTAATGAATTAAAAAGGATAATACAAAATTAATCACGAAAAGAATAATCTTATCACACGGATGTATTCGGAATACCAATGAAGTTGTTAAATCTATACTTATATAATAAGAATTAACATTTATCCAAAATAGTAGGTCAAATTATGGTCAATGTCGGATTTGCATTAAGTATTTTCCAAAACCGGTAAGTTTTTGTCATTTTCACACTTCTCATTAATTATGTCATTTTCACACTTCTCATTAATTATGTCATTTTCACACTCTCATTAATTATGTCCTTTTCACACTTCTCATTAATTATATCATTTTCACATATCTAATTAATTCATTAATTACAACATAATTATCATAAATCATTCCATTTGAGCTTTTATCGTTAAAATGTATAGCAATCTGTTATGACCTTATCTCATTGATATTTCCATGAAGCGTCCTTATCGCGTTTTATTTTTGGGTAACTGTTGATAAACGGATTTAACCAACGTAATTAAGGTAAAAAGTACAGCAAAGATTGTAGAAAATATGATTTTTATTGAAAATATTGAAGTCGGTTACAGAATTGGGAAGTCGGTTTTTTCGTGTACACCAAGTCGGTAACAGAGAAAACCGAGATAAATATATGCGTTTTTCTATCTTTTTTGCCGAATCCTCGTATCGTCTTTAATGTTGCTATTTATAGTTATGCTTGCCACACATCCCAAGATAAATTAGCTTCATTTAATGAGGATTTGACGGCTTAGGGGCGGCAATGACGTAGGCAAGCTTTTTAGGTAATGATGAGCATGGACACTCCTCTATCTGTGTGACAAGCGTCACTTCTGTCGGGTTGAAGTCGGTGTTTATTCGCGACGTCGGCTTTTCAATAGAATTTTAGCCTTCCATGACATCCAATAAGCTACTCTCTAACCGAAGTGGCAATCTTGAGGTTTTAACGTTTTATCCTGACGACTTTTGGGATTTTTTGTCTTCGGACGTCTTATGAGAATCGAGGTGATATTTCCGAGGTGCCAGCTATTTCAATTTTTATTGTCAAAGACTCGGTTCGCGGTTTGGACTTTATGAAATCTTTAATCTATCATTTATCTCAAGATATTTAATCTTGATATCAACAGTAACCACTCTATATCAATAACCGGATATTTGGTTAATGATAGCACACGTCTTTATTTCAAGAAGCGGATATTCTTTGACCTTTAATTAATCTGAACTGATTGCCTTGACTTTTCAATTTTTAAAAACTCTTTTTTTAAATATTTTGGCTTAAGATTTGGATTTCATTATACAAGTCATCGGATTATTTGAATGAAAATGAATGAAAAGAACACAAAAAACAGGTAGCCTTATTCAAATCCTAGAAATCCTAAAGTATTAGTTTGTTCACCAAAAAGAGACAAATCCTAGAAATCCTAAAATATTAGTTTGTTCATCAATCCTAAAATATTAGTTTGTTCACCAAAAATATTAGTTTGATTTTTAGGATTTGTCTCTTTTGAAAATATTAGTTTGTGATAATGAGGAGTTACCAAATAATCAAACTCATAATGTTGTGTACAAGGAGGTTTTTAATAATATATGATTGTTACCGAACTTTTTATGATTCAACAATGTCCCTATGTATTTTAATGATTTCAATTTCGATCCTAATGCACGTGAGGTTATATTATTCTTCCAAATTTTGCATCCCGTGCATCGCACGGGTTACATACTAGTGTTAGATATTTAAGTTAAATTACATGTTTCAAGGCGGGATTATATAAAATATTTCAAAAAATAAAATTTCCCATTTTGGCTGA